ATAATATAGATAGACAGATACCAACTTATTCGTACCGTTTAACTTTACTTATTCATACAAATATTACAAACATACATTCATAACGAATCTTTGGTCGTTCTATAATAGTATTAGGTATATGGACATTGGACATACAAGGTTAAATACTATTACTATTATTATTATTAATATTGTAATATATTTTTTATCTAGTATATTATGTTGTATATAAATATTTAAAATAATATTGTAAAAATTACTATTTAGATAGAGTATAGACTAACCTACAGAATATAACTAAAAGAAAAATAAATTATTAAATTACTAATACATAACGGACCTAAGRATATGAAAAAATCTGAGTTGACCATTCACTATTGACAAAACTGACCTTTTCCACATTTTGTATACAATAAATATACAGTAGAAATCACTATAACGAGCATCGCTTAGAACGAGATACTGCTTACAACGAGCAAAACGTTAGGTCCCAGCACAAGCTCATATGATTGTATGTTAAAATATACGTCTACAACGGGTATGGTTATTACGAGTTATCGGCTATAACGAGTAAAATAAAACGAACTTGACTAACGACCTTTCGGTTATTACGAACAAGTTACCTGCAAGATAAGAACTTTTGGCTATTATTTAGGTAAAATTTATATTTAGGTCTAACACTGGAAAGATTTTATTACACAATATATGAAGGTACARMTGCTAAAGAAAAGCGTTGTCTTTATTAGAAACATCGATCAACAGTAAATAAATGAAGCAAAGTTCGATCAAAGATTATTTTAAGAAATTAAATTCAAGTTTTTTATAATTATGTTTAAGTAATATTTATAGATAAATAAAGTAATAAATCTCCAATTATAATAATTAATARTAAATGTATGTATAAATAATGTATGTGCATACATGTATAAATTCAGTATTAATTTCGATTATAAGTCAAATATAAAAAGTCGTTGGTTTTATTTTTGTATTTCCCGTTATTAATCGGTTACAACGAATGCTCGTTCTAACCGTATATAACGAGCTACCGGTTATAACGAAAAAAACTACCTGGCCCTTGAAACTCGTTATAACCGATTTCTACTGTATATGTATGATATGAAATTAAAAAAAGTACATACTTAACATTTTCACAAATTATTAATAATATATATGTAGGTACTTATAATACAGCGTTGTTATTATATACGTACATATTGATTTTGTTTTTAAACAGTTAATAAGCAATTTATACTTTTAAATTTATTTAGTACRTATTTTTCAACTCATGTTATTGACATTTGTATTTCTCTGTCAACAAATTAGAATATTCAAAGCAAGGTTCTTAAAAACTGGTTTTTACATGATTGCGGTTATTATATTTTAATTATATCTATATTTAATTTTTTTTATATGTATATAAGTTCACACATTTATTAGTGGATAAAATGCTTCAAACATTAACTTCAAAGGTGGTTTCTGGTCAAGTTAGATTTATTAGGAACTTTTAATACGCCAAGAATAAAAACATTTTTTTCAAAAATTTTTCTTGAAATTTTGAATTTTATGACAATTTTAACATATAACAAATTTGCATTATAATAATCTTTTAATAATTCGTTATAATTTAATAATGTAATATCACATTATGGATTTGAGATTTCTGGTGAAAGTTCATATCAATATTTAATAGAAATGAAAGGATTTTTAAAATATTTTGATTCGTTTTGTGATACTTATAGATTCAGTAAAAATTGTAAAAACAAATATTATGTTGCAGCAATTAAGATTTAATAAAAAAAAGATTCGAAATTTCTGATGGTTTTTGGGTAAACAAATTTAAAACTTGAATATAAGGATCCTGTTAAGTTTTTCTTGCCCCATTTTAAAAGTATCAACAATAAATTTTACATTTTAAGGATACTTATCAAAAATAAAAATTGCGAAMATTTGCCAATTATTTTCTAGGTAGTTAAAATTCATTAAAAATGTATTACTCGTACCTGAGGTTTGAAAATTAAATTCAAGGTTAATCAAAGTTTTTTTTAACTTTTCATAGAGTTAAAAAAAGTTTAACGGAAAAAACATGCATTTTATGAGTGATTGAATTTCAAACTTTGAAGCCGGATTTACTTTTAGAATGACAAATTCAATTAAAAAAGTTAGTTATAGACATTTGAAATTTTCCGTTTTTTTTTTTAGTTTTTTATTAAATGTCGATAAAATTTTATTCATTGAGCAAAAAACTTTAAAATTTAAAACAAGGTTCCCCATAAGTTGATTTAATAGCATTTAGAAAATATTTAAAATACATAGGAACTTTTTTTTTTTAAACCATTTAAATTCAAATTTTGACAAAATGTATTTAATTGAAAACTTACAAATGTTTTAGTTGTTAAAAAGTATAAAACATTTAATTTCTATGGCTAAGGTTTGAAAATTTAAAAGAAATTTCAACGTAAGTAGTTAATTCTGCGACAAAAATATCTAAAAACTATACAAACACAATTTTTTTTTTTAGTTATATTAAGTTCAAATTGGGAAAAAAATAACATATAAAATAATCAAAAATAACGATTTTAGTCRTATTGTTGGTATTTAAAAATATTATTTGTGTATAGGTACTTGACATTCATAGAGTATACTTTATAATTGAGTTTATATTCTAATCGTGAGTAGGATTCACTATGAATCTGATTTGAATAATTTGGAATTTATTTTATAGGTACCTACCTATTTTTTTTTCTTGAAATAATAGTAATAAAATTAATATAATATTATAGAACTATAAAATATTTTAAACTGACAAACCGTCAAATCGCTTTTCGTATACAATGATATTATATTGAATTCAAATTTAATACCATCCATTACAGTAACTCACTTGTAAAATACTGCAGTACAGTAGTGACATCCACTTGGCACGCTTTTTTTATGATTGTTTGAAGTACCAACATTCATCAAAATCATAGCATTTTTGCACTATTTTGTAGTTAAACATTACAATTTTTATTACTAAGACTTAAGGTTCTTCATAAATAGACCTTACTGATACCTACAAATCTAAAAATATACAAGCACATTTTTTTTTTAGGTCAATAACCCTCGAGTATTTKAAATTTCTGATCTCCAACAGCTCTCGTATATTTATGTAGATAGTTTAGAGAATATATAAACTATATAGGAACTAATTGTAGAAACTAGGAATATTGATAAGGTTCATTCAAGTCACATACATTTTACTTTGAATCTCATTATAATTGAAAGATAAATATTATTGATAATCCGTTCATATTACATACATATATAGGTATACATATATTATATCATATTATTAGTATATAAACTTATATTAATATTAACTTATTAGTTTATTATTCACCATAGTATTTTATACACATAAACACTCACATTAAATGGCAACGCAAAATTATTTGCGCGGGAAGAAAAATGTATTTTTATAATATGAGCACTTACTTCTAACATATTAAAACTTAATATCTATCTCCTACACTGAGTGGAAAAAACAATAATTTAATTGTTGTGGTTGCTACATATACTAATATACGTATTATAGGTACTCGTACAATATATTAAAAGGAACCTGAAAAGCTTTAATATTATTTTAGATGATAGATATTATTTTAATTGTATGAGATGGATAGGTACACAAATACAATGATAAACTTAAAATTATTGTTTCATAATACTAATTAATTTGTCTAACATTTAATAATACGATATTCTCGTAGGCAATACTTAATGTAGAGTTTAAATACAATAGATAAGTAAGTAGTTAATTTAATATAATAAAACACAAATTCAGTTTAATCTCACTGAGTATCTCACGAATAATTAGGTACACATTAAATACTTATTATAATTCTATCAATAATACAATAACAAAAATGTGCTTGCTGTTAACGGGTTAAATAATAAAAGTTTGGCCATGAATGCCCAAGATAAACAGTAAATAATAGATATTTAGTTAATCAACGTTCCGAGAAATAATACTCAGACTTAAAATACACACACAATATACAATATATTTAAAACTTAAATTTGATTTCGAAAAWTAAGTAAATGTAAATAAATAGTTACTTTTACTTTTAAGGTACGTAGACTACTGTTCATGTCGACGAAATTCAATATCTTAAAACAAGATTTTAAAACTACGGGAAAATTCTTGGGAGATCATTCTTAAGAAGTTAAAAATAAAAAAAAAAAGGAAATTATATCTTGGTGAAATTAAAATAAACATTCAATGAACATTAATTTTTACACCAAACACACTTAATTTAATTTYCATTTAAAATGTGTTCTAAAATAAACAAGTTTTCTATAGTTATCTAATATGTCTAAAAAGACGACTTTAGTATTAAAAAGTATCATGTTATTATACACACAATGTTGATTTTCATAACTTAAGCCCCCACCCGACAACTCATACAAGTATTATATAGGTAGACAAACAGTAAGTAACGTAATATTTAATACTAATTAGTATTTACCAACTGTATAGTGACATAGGGTTATATAGTTATACGCAACGATAGGTATATACCCAGTGGCGTAACTTATATAGAGCAAACCGAGGCAGTGCCCCAGAACTCTAGGGGCCTCTGGGGCTCTTGTGCAATAAGAAACGACTTGCCTAGAATAATTAAAAACATTGAAATATCTATCGCCAATTATTCCAAATCATACGTGTTAAATTCAGTCACAACTAACAATCAATATCAAACAAAATATTAATACACATTACGAGTAACACGCGATGGGGTGAAACACGTTTGGGCACATATTACACACAAAAAAAAAAAAAAACAGAAACATTTTAGACTTTAATCCACACAACGTTTGGACGTCATATTCCTATTTATACATCAAAACAGTTAACTCATATTCTAATAATATAATATATTATGCAATTTTATGTTAATTGATAATATTATACACATATAATAATAATAATATATTTAATATGTATTATAATTGTTATCTAATATTGTAAATGACGTCAAGTGTGTTATAACATGATTTACAGGTGGTTTTCAATACATATATTCGCCTGAAAGTATAATATATTACCTACACAAATAAATTTGAAGCAATTATAAACGCCATACAAATAAGTATCAATAGAACTATATTTTAGTTGTACGTTTTCAATTCCAAGAATAATTATATTGGATAATATTAAACTACAATTTATTATATAATATAAAGAGTGTGTTGCGCACTGCGGCAGTCGTTAAAAAATATAAAATATAAGTTATAACATTATGTTAAAATATAACACATTTATTTGAATTTTGAAGTCACTTAAAAGACGGTTCAAGCTCTTTTTTCACTGAGTATTGCTGGGGCCTCATCTGATACTTTACAGTTTTCCTTCTAACCAATTAGGTGCCCGTTTAATGTTACATTTTATATTTCATGCTATAGGTACAATGCCAATAATGATAACTGACACTCTCGAAATGCATTAACCATTTTGAACTTTCTGYGGATAACTCTTTTTTCACAAACATATTCGGTTAGCGKGAAATATTTTCGAATTAAAAATAAATGAGTTTCTGATTTAGTTGTGTATTTTCATACCAGGAACGTATATTTTTGGTCCAAATGATTAATATAGTTTCTCCGTAACGACTGACGTAGGTAGGTATGCTATTATATTATTTGATTTTACTGCAGGATATTGAGCGTAGGGAATTGTCATCGGTTATCTGTAATTTTTATTAGTTTCACAACGATGGTGTTTGTAATTTTGTGTGGTTTATTCTTTGGGGGCGGTAAAAAAAAACTCGTCAACTTTATCCGACATGGCGACATACCTCTATAAATTGGAAAGTGAACACAGTTTGATCTTTGAACGGGTATTATATTTAAAATATCTTTGTGGTTATATATAGGTACTCTATACTACATTGTCTGCACCATAGTGTAAAAAATCACTTGATTCTAATAAAAGCTATAGTAACTGCGATAAAATCGGTAAAAAAAGCGTCGTCAAGGACCTGAGACCTTATAATATAGGTACAATAAACATTTTTGGACAGAATTATAGCTTCGATCTGCAGAATTACATTTGAGTATTTATTTTTGAAAAAAAAAACTGACTTCTCATTTTTTACTTACCTAATTTGTTTCTAATAGCTAAATTATTATCTTATTAATAATGAAATTTATCGTTATACAAATATAAACTTGGAATTATTAGGCGAATTAAGTTGGTKGATTAACGTAAATCATGTTATACTAGCTACTGTATAAGAAACCAAATCTACCTCTAATAATAATTTACACATATGCGCGTTTGCACACACATAGACACACACACACACACACATCGCGATGTTTATAAATTTATGTAAACCCAATTCGACTAATTTTACAATTCGATATAATATAAGCCACCATTAATTGCATTTTCTGCCAAGTTTTAAAATTTTCATCGTTTCTGTTGTAGGTATGCTGCAGTATTGTAGTGCAAACGAGAACAATCGATTTAAATCACAGTCCGTACTTCTACTGCTGCAATCCCCCTATATTWATTCATTTAATATTTTATTTCGGTCTGCACGTATTATCATAAACTCAAGCTTGTGGGTAAGTGGTGGGCGATTTTCAACTCATATAATGTAGTAGGTACGCAACATACTGCGAATTCGCATTTTCAAGCTGGACTAATTTGAAATCATATCGTGTTGGAGGAGGAGGGGAGGGATTGGAATTAGAAATAAAATCACGGTTACATCGTGTCATTATTATACAAAAATATTATTATTATTATAAGCGAAAGGAATTTCAAATGTGTTTGCTTATATAGTTTTATCGAATTTCAGTCGTCCAAGGCTGTAACTATATTACTATAATATTCGTGTGTGTGTGTACAATGTACATTGCGTGTAGCGGTGCGATAATGAGCGCGCGTGYGCGTCAATGACTTGGCGCGCACATTTATACTACCGAACGGTCTACCTGTTATCGTCCGGACCGCTGCTTTTGTCGCTTCTTCAGTGCAGGTTGTTGTCTGGACCGCCGCCGCCATGGCCGCTTCCTCCAGGATCGTTGTCGGGAATGCCACTCTGGACGCCTCTGTAGTCGCCGTTAGTGACCTTGCTGTTGATGGCGTCTATCGTGATAATGTAATCCCACAACGAGCGGACGGTYCGCCGTCCACTGCCCTCACCACCATCTTTGGCACCGGCAGCCGACCCTGCAGGAAACGGCCCTGGAATCGGCCTTGGAACCGGCTTCGGAACTGGACTTGGAACCGGATCGGGAATCGGCCTTTGAACGGGCCTTGCAACCTGGTTCGGAACCGGACCTGGGACCGGACCGGGAACCAGACCTGTGACCGGACCGGGAACCGGACCTGGGACCGGACCGGGAACTGGACCTGGAACCGGTCCTAGAACCGGCCCACTCGCATATTTTCGTGTCACCGAAGCGATGGCGGACACAGCCGTGGCCTCGGTAGCGTTTATTTCTGCAGCAGTGGTTGCGGTCTGATTTCCGAAGACCGCGCTAAGCCCCGGGTTGTTACCACGGGGCGACCACCCTTATACTTTTCCGTACTTATTCACCACGCAGTACACCATCAAGCTGAGCAGGAACCCTCCGGCCACGGCGACGAACTTGGAACATGCCTCGAAGTCGTCCTGGCTGTTTTCATTGATGGCGGCCCGCAACTGTTCCTGTCGCCGCCTGCTGGCCAGCTTCCGCGCAAGTTCCGGGAACGCCAGGCTTTGGGTGAACGTCAGCTTGTGCAGAGAGTCCGACAGGCTGTGCATGCCCACACTGCCTCTGGTGGTCATTCGCTGCAAGTCCGCAAATTCTGGATCCATCGCGTCCGAGTACCGGCCAGTCCACGTGGAACTTCGTCGCCGGCCCCACGGGATGCTGTGACGGTGGCCGCCGGGTCCCCCAGATCCTGGCACGCTCAACGATGATGCGTCTGACGAAGCAGCCGACAGGTTGCCGCCACCGTCCACGATTCCAAAGTCGTCGACCTGTTAGCGTTACACAGAAACAGTGTAACAAAACGATATAATAATAATAATAATAATAATATA